GCCTTAGCCACTATGCTACCAGAGCTCCCTAAAAAAGGTTAGCATATGATAAAAAACACTAACAATATAGTTCAAATAAAGATAAAGTAAGCCCATATAAAGGGAGAAAAATAGTCTAGATAAATCAGTATGAGATCATTACAATGTTCTAAGCACTAAATTTACAATCTACTTCCTTGAAAAAAAGGACAGTAATAGGGTTGATAATGTCAATGTTTTCCAATCTTTGTCTTCCAACAATGATGTTTATTATTTTCCACTCTCACTGCCTCCCAGTTTTTAAAGAGTTTATCTTTCAACCACATTTATCAAAGAATGTTTTGAATGATATTATCATGGATAAATGTATAGTTTATTGAAATATCAAAACCAGCTCACAGATTCCTAGTATTATTTTTAGTGACACCAGGTTGCAACTGTTGGGATAAAGGGTTTTCATTTTCTGAGTGTCCAGTACACACTAAGCAGTGTGCTTCATTAAGAACTCCACATACATTACCAAATTTTTTCATCACAACAGCACTAAGAACCAAAAACCAAACCCACTGCCATCAAGTCAATTCCAACTCATAGCGACCCCCACTGGGTTTCTAAGGCTGTAAATCTTTACAGAAGTAGATCACCTCATCTTCCTCCCACAGAGCAGCTGGTGGGTTTGAACGGCCAACTTTCTGGTTAGCAGCCAAATGCCTTACCCACTATGCCACCAGAGATTCTTTACAATAGCCCCAAGTAGCAGGTATTATTATCCTCATTTTACAGACAAACAAATTTTTCAGCAACTTTACCCAAGCCAGTATGGCAGCACAGAGATTTGGAACCAGGTCTGCCAAGTCCAAAACCAGTGATCTATTTATATTATACTATCTCCCTCAGGTAGAATTTTAGCTTTTCAAGAAGAGAATATGTTCTCTTGGTTCTGAATCTTAAGAGGAATTCATTACATGGCTGTTCACAGGAAAACTACTATCTTGCAATTGATTGTGAGGGTCTGAGGAAGAACCATTTCATAATTGACTACATTCATTGAGGGTTGAGGGTTCACTAGGTACTGAATGTATCTGGGAAATTACAGGCCCTGTCCTCTGAGAGCTTTGCCCAAGTGAGCAGACAGGACAAGCACACAGACAATCAAAATAAATGCAGGCTACATGGTGATGAGTGCCATCACTGATAGGTATATCAAAGGGCTTGCAATGACAGTCAGAGGGAGGGACTGACCATGTCTTCCCTTGCACTGGGCCCTCGCTGCTGCTGCCTGTGGTTCAGAGTCCAGGCCCATATCAAGAAGCGTCACCCTGCCCATGCTCCCAATTGTACAAAATACTCACCCTACCAAGCCTAGTCCCAGCCTTGCTCCCTGCTGAAATGGGCCAGTTGGGTATCCCAAGCCTTGAGCTTGAGGAACTAGTATAGAAATAGCAGTCTCCAGGTCATAGACAAAGCAGCCAGGCATAATTACAATGTATCTATTCAACTAACATTGATTAATATCCTAATACTTGTCAGACACCGTGATAAGTGACAGAGCGCATGGGTGGTACAAACAGTTAATGTGCTCGGCTGCTGCCCAACAGTTGGAGGTTCTAGTCTACCCAGAGGTACCTGGAAAAAAAGAACCAGTGGTCCACTTCTGAAAAAACCACCAATGAAAACCCCACAGAGAAGTTCTACTCTGACACACAGGAGGTCGAGGTCGCCATGAATCACAATCAACTAGATAGCAACTGCTGATAAGTGATAAGGCTAAAGCAGAAAACAAGAAAGGGAAGGTTCCTGTCCTCAGTGAAGTTACATTCAGGCGAGGGGAGCCAGAATACATGTACGCACATACACATGTATATAAAAGAAAGAAAAATTGTAGCTGGTGAAAGGGCCAAGCAAAGAATTAAATTAGGATGTGGTGTAATAATGACAGCCTGGGTAGCTGTTTTGCCTTTGCCACAGGAAAAGTCTGAGGAGCAAAAAAACAGGGTATAAGAACACATGCTGGGGACCCATGTCTGTGGGCCAAGCACAGAAGAGGAACACCAAGCACAGGAGGCTCAGTATCTGACACAGAGCATATTGTATGAATCCTAACTTCATCTGTAGACTAGAACCCCCAAGAGTAATTCTAAACCAATTGCCATCACGCTGACTCCTCTCAAGGTGAGCCCATGTGCGTCATAGTAGAACTATGCTTCATAGAGTTTTCAGTGGCTGACATTTCAGAAATAGATGGCCAAGCCCTTTCTTCCTGGATAGACGTGAGCCACCAACCTTACTGTTAACAGCCAAGCATATTGACTGTTTGCACCACTCAGGAACTCCTAAGAGCAATTCTAACAGTCCATTATTTCATTCAGTGAATAAGACACTCAAGGTCACTGCCCTCACATAGCTGCAACTGTACTAGAAGATGACACCTACAAACATAATACACACACACAAAGCAAGTAAACAGATATCTAAGTAAAATTGCAGGTTATGCTAAGTGCTGTGGGAAAAAATAACAAACTAGGAGCTAAGAGTAACAGTGGGTGATCTACTTTAGGTGGGACAATCCAAAAAGAACCTGTCTCCAAAAGGAATATCGAAGATGCATTCCTAGACTCTGCCATGAAAAGGAAGGTGGTGTGGTATTCCAGGCAGAAGGGATCATGTGCGCATAGGCTGGGAGGCAGGAAAGAGCTGGATATGTTTGAGAAACGAAAAGACAGTCAGTAAGACCAGAGTACAGGGTTGGGGAAAAAGAAGTGATGACACTGGACACATAAACAGAGTCACATCATTCAAGCCCTTGTCGGCTGCAGTGAACTGTTTGGATGTTATTTTAAGGACGACGGCAAACCACTGGTTTTCAAGCCAGGCATGATCTGATCTGTTTTTTATCTTAAGCAATTTCTGGCCAGAAGAGGGCATAACGGTCAGGGAACTGGTTCTTTCTGAGCAGGCAGGGCTTTGAGGCCATCCTCCAATCCTACTGTGGGGGCCATTTAGTTCACCCACCATTAGGGTCAGGCCCCTATTTGCAGAGCAACTTTTCCTGCTTGGATCTCCTTTAAGCTGGCCTAAGTGCCTCCCCAAAAGCCCCATAAACTCACTAAAGGGTTTCCAATGGACTGTGCTAGAGTGCTGGGAGAAGGAATGCTTTGGTAAAAGGACACAAAACAATGAAACAAAACCACTCCCTTGTTTCTGATGGAAATTTCTTGTTGGCAACTCCACTGTTTTCCATTAGTCCATGGCCTGAGCAATTGTCATTGCTCTTTTACTTTGTCTCCCTTTCTTTTCCAAAAAGCCATGAACATGTGTGCTACTATGAACAAAAGCAGAGAACTAGAAATTCTTATTGATCCCAAAAGGTTGGGAATTCTAAACAATAAAAATGTGTCCTCTGTTTCTCTCCAAAGAACATTTTGAAGACACAAAAGAGCTTTGTTAAAACACCAAATGAGCTCCTGGGACACTTTGGGCCTAACGTTGGGCTCCAGGTTATCAGGTACTGATGCAATAGGTAACTCTAAAAACAAAGTTGGCAAGACCACCCTGTTGCCCTCTTCTAGGCTCAATTTCTCATGCGGCAGCCCACATCTTGACTGCATCAAGCAGCAGTTACTGTGTAGCTTTCCACCCCTACTGTTCTCAAAAGCCAGAGTTCTCAGCCTAAAGAGAAAGTCCCATTTGTTCTCCAGCCAAAATTTAATTTACATTCTCCTGAACACTCCATTCACTTTGTTTTCAGGCTAAGGGCTTTCACAATTGTGCTAGATCCTGAATTTGAATTTCCCTGTGTTTCTACTATTTGGAAATTTGCCCAGGTCAGCCCCTGGACAATCTCAGAATTCAGCTTTACCTTGGGGAAAAATCTTTATTGTCCCTGATTTCTTATAAGATTTCTCACTACTCTCATTGTATTTTTTTGAGATTCCTATATTTCAATGTCTTTCAAAATGCACATATATGTGTGAGCATACATGAATAGACACATTCATGTTGTTGTTGTTATGTGCCGTCGAGTCGGCCCCGACTCATAGCGACCCCTCTTTGGGTTTCTGAGGCACTATCACTATGGAAGTAGACTGCCCAACCTTCCTTCTGAGGAGTGGCTGGTGGGTTTGAACCGCCAACCTTCTGGCACTACGCTACCAGAGCTCCCTGACACACTGATATCACCTGTTATTGACTGAACTCTATCTCCCCTCCCCACCACGCACACAAAATATATGTTGAGATCCTAACCTTGTACCTGTAAACATGACCCTGTTTGGAAACAGGAGTTTTCTAAAGTAAACATGTCATACCAGTATATGGTGGATCTTAAACCTAATCATTTCTGAGTTACAAAAATAGCAGAACAAACACAGACAGGGTAAAGGTAGATGACATGTGAGGATCATCTATAATGAAAGAAATGCCACAGTCACCAGAAACTAGAGAGAGGCCCATATGAGGCATCAACATAGCCAAGACCCTGATTTGGACATTTGGCTTCCAGAACTGGGGGAAAATACATTTCTGTTCTTTAGAGCTACCCACTTGTGATTATTTCTGCTTTGGTAGGTCTAGGAAACAAAGAGATCACCTTTTCTCTGACAATCAGTAAAGTTTCTACTTTTTTCCAATGTAATTACTAGACATTGGACAGTCCTAGGGAGATGTCCCCCGTTCATTTCCCTGTTTCAGAAGGGTGCTCTGAGCTGTATTTTTCCCCGCCTTTCTCATTCAGATGTCCCATTCCAGGCATTTTCCTAGTCCTTCAATATCATAATTCACAAAATAATGTGATCAACCGAGTTTCTACCCTTTTCTCTCTGTGTTCTCACCTATACGTTTCTTTCATGTGCAAATATATAAAATTTATTACAATGTTAATGAGCAAAATGTAACCACAAAGTAATACAAATGCAAAGAAATAGCAATCCTTAATAAAAAGCACATACTAAATTAATTGGCAAGAAACTGTTCTTTCTGTTCTTTGGGGGTAAACGGATTATTGCTAGCAGAAGACTGCTTACCTGAATATATTATAATTCACCACCTTTGTATGGTTAGGGTCAGCAGCTGTAAAAACCTGCTTGACCTCTCTGGATTTTCCTTTTTCTTCCTTCAGCTTGTCTAGGGCAAGTTCGAAGCTGCTCAGTGGAAACTAGAAGGGAAGAGGAAAGGAAAGACATATTTAAACATGCCTGTGACTTAAAGAGTCTGATCTTTCTTATGGCCAGCAAAAGACTTCATTTTTCACATTGTGAACCTGAAATTAGCCAGCATGTCTTCCCAAAGGGACCAACACTGTGAAGACATGACTAACTTACAGTTAGGTAAGGCTGGACAACTGTTAGCATTAGCACGGGCCCCAGAGCTGAGAGAAATGAGCCTAAGGGACTGTAAGCCACAGGAATCAGCAAACAAGCTATCCTTCCACCCCAGCCTCCTCCTCCAACCCTTGAATATTGTCCCAATATGCTGGGAAACCCAATGGACAGAATGAGGATTCAAATAGGATAAGTGGACTCTCATTTTCTCCAGCTATTTATAAAGGGTACCTTGAAACTGTTGGCCAGCAGGTAACACAATATCAGAGCAAGGCTGTATGTCAAAGATGCACATACCCACTGCAATCCCCTTACATTTATCCCTGGGTTACATTAACCCACTTCTACAGTTCCCCACCTTATGAGGGTTTGACTTAATAAATGCATATCCTATTCAATCCAGTAGAGCATACTGATGAAAATAATTACAGCTATGAGGGAAAAAAATGAAAAGACTGAATTTGAAAACAAAAACATTAACGGTAATTTAGTATAAACCTCTCTCCATTCTATCAGAAAATGATCCAGGTGATTCGGTACCTATTGCAGCCTCCTGTCCTTCCTCCCTTTTTGCATTTCCTTTCCTCTATTTCTATGACAGGACCTACTAGTTCTTTTAAACAAATGCTCACATTGATAATAAAGAGTCTATTAATCTTTCTCCGTTTAGAATGTACTTATTCAGAGTAGTTTTAAAATAATACAGTTTTCAGTTGTGATGCTGATCCTAGATAATGTCCTGCCTTGCTTTTGTCTTTCTGAAGGGGGCGGGGAGCCCTATTATCTTAAAAAAAAGAAGAAGAAGAAGAATTATATTCATGTTCCATATATTTTATAGTAAGGTATAGGGTTGCTCTCTGTTTGGAAACAGAACTCTGAATTGAATGAGCTTGCTATAGGCCACACAGTGCTAAGCACTTCACATGTCATCATATCTAATCTTCATAGCAACTCTATGAGATGTGAACTGTTATTACTCTCCATTTTAAAGATGAGGAAATTGAAGCACAAAGAAGATAATTTCCTAAGGCCCCTCAGCTACTAGAGCATGGAGTCAAGTTTCCAAACCAGGCCTGCTGGCCTCCAGAAATTGTAACTGCCTTATTACTTAGCCTCTCGCCTGAATTAAATGTTTTTTAATATATACTGGTTCTTGGTAAGGAGCTCTGGTGGTGCAGTGCCTAAGGCATTTGCTAACCAGAAGGCTGGTGGTTCAAATTCACCAGTTGTTCCATGGAAGGACGATGGGGCAATCTACTTCTGTAAAGATTTATCACCTTAGAAACCCAATGGGGGTGTCGCTATGAATTGGAGTCACCTCGATGACAGTGGGTTTGATTTTTGGTTTTTTGGTTCTGGGCTTCATAAATTCCTAATGTTATAAATGGTGAAATGGTGTGGCAGGTACCATCCAGACCTCCCTTCGATAGAGAACCCACTGAGAAGAGCATTGTTAGTCAGCAGAACCCAGGTGCAGCACCTATAGGATCCACACAGAATTCATGCCAAGGCCACCACTCACTTCCCAGGCTGCTTCCAGTCAGTACTTGGGTACTAGAGTTGGGCAATTCCTGCCTGATGTGGGAGTTCTCTGATGGGTAGCCTTTGCTCTGGGCTCTACATTGACCTGGCTGAGACTTTCTCAGAGCTGCATTGCAGCCTGAGGCTCTTTTTCTTCCATCCTGCTTCCTTCCCCCTCTCCTTTCACAGGGGGCAGACTTGCATCTTGGTCTGAAGGCTCTTCCTGCATACTCCTACTCTTTCTCCACCTTTATCCTTCACAGGTATTTTTCCACTAAATCCTTACATGTCTAATTTTGTCTTGGTATCTATTTCTCAGAGGACCCAAACTGACAAAGATGATGTGATATACATAAACTGATGTTAGCAGCTTCACCCCAAGAATTTTATATATTCATGAGAACATGAGATGGCACTGGTACTGAATGTCCAGATATTTTTTTCTAGATAGATTTTCAAATAGTGGGCAATGATTCCCAAATAAAGATGTCTGCACACTGAATTAAACCACATTTAAAATCAAGATTATATCAATGTATTATTTTTTACTGAACAGTACCTGCTAAAAGAACTATATAAATCTGTCCTGAAAGAAGTGCAGCCAGAATGCTCCTTGGAAGCGAGAATGGCCAGACTTCGTCTCACCTACTTTGTTGTCAGAAGGAACCATTCCCTGCAGAAGGATATCATGCTTGCTAAAGTGGAGGGTCAACAAAAAAGGAGAAGGCCCTCAACAAGATGGATTGACACAGTGGCAGCAACGATGGGCTCAGGTATAGCAAGGATCATGGGCCTGGCACAGGACTGGGCAGTGTTTCATTCTGCTGTGCATAGGGTCACTATGAGTCGAAGATGACTCCACAGCACCTAACAACAACAACAGTACCTGCCATAGTAGCACGTTTAGTAAGTGTACTCATTTGCCATCTTATTTCAAATAAAGAACTTTAGGCCATACTCTTTGAGCTCACTGTTGCCAATTTCTCCTTGAACTCTTATTTAGACTTCAGGTGCTACTGTTATGGGAAGCTGCAACCACAGCAACTACTGGGTTCCCTTGGGGCTTCTGTTTGTTCAGGTCTTGGCCTTCTCTGTTGGCCTGTGCCAATTAACTGGGATGGCACAGTGTGTGCCACCAGATTTTCTTCCTCTCCTATAGTCGTTGAATTTCTTTCTGAAAACATTGTCAGTGTCAGCAGAAAACCCAGGAAACTTGATTCAATGCTGGGCCTGCTTCCTGCCTGTGCCTGGAATCCGTGATGATGGGCAGTGGAGAACCCAATGTGTAAACAGAGTAGACAAGGAACTGGCCTCTGTGGCAGGATGCAGGGCCAAGTTGTGTTGATCCATTATTCATGCCCACATGTGTGAATGCACAATGCAAAACTGGTGGCAAGACGAAGAAGGAAAGGCACCAAGGGAAGAAAAACAAAGAGTGCACAGTGCTGAGCGGCAAGTCAAGAATTCCACAAAGTAACTTTACCTTATCTAAATTACTCTCCATGTAGTTTAAAGTGTATTCATCGGCATTGAGCAAATGGAATATGTAGCCATTCACATTCACTCTGGCTCCAACATACAGCTCCTCAGGTTGGATATATTCTGATAGTTCACTTTTAAAGACTTCTTGTCCAGGCCTCTTGACACGAGTTCTGTGTAAGAACCTCCCAGCAGTATTCCCTACCAAAAAAGAGAGAAAAGTTAATGAGTAGCCTTTATTTTTAAGAAACAAGTATGACTTGCCTTTACAGTTACTTCATCTCAAACAAAGACTGTACACCTTATCTGTGAACTCCTAATGTCTATTGTTCCTCTTTTTTTTTTTTTTTTAATTTCAATTGTGGTAAGTACATATATCAAAACATTTGCCATTTCAACATTTTTATATATACAATTCAGTGACACTAATTACATTCATCACATTGTACAACTATCCCCTCATTCTCAGACTTAAGGGAAGAATGCAGCAGTGAGTAAAGAAATTCTAGAAAGTAAGTAATATGAGATGTTCCTAAAAGAAGCAAAGATAATTTATTGATAGGGGAGAAATGACTTAAGGGAATTCCCATAGTTATTTTCAAACCCTTAAGTAGCTCCTTTATACAAGTGGGGCATTTTATACTTGATCTATATGTCAGATTAAGTATAAGACATCACCTAGAACAAATAGGTAGACATAAGCTCAAGTGAGGAATTTTCTACCTGGTTCTATTCAAGCATGCTCTATAGATGAGTGTGTTCCAGATGTTCTGCAGTACTTGGTAAGTGTTTATTGGATTGGGAAAAAAGTAGAGAGGAAAAAGGAAAGGCTTGAATGCTGTACCACTTTTTCAACACACTCATATTTCTTACTTTCCAGAATTTTCACCATTTCATCTGCTTTCTTCTGGGTATTGTTTTTTGACCACCTAAATTAAACACAGGACTCCAGTATCTTCTAACAGATATTGAGCTGAGATTTATAAACCTCTGACTACAATGTGATACCAGAATAGCTTTGGTGGTCAGCTACATTACACTCCTCCTACCACACTCAGAAAACTGGAACCAAATAGAGCTGTATTCCATCTTGGCTCTGTCATTTGCTTATTGGATAATTTTTAGGAGTTATTTTCTCTCTCTGAATATTTTGAATTCTCATGGTAAAATAGGAATAAAATTTGTGGGGACCATAGAAATCTGTATTTCAGATTGGTTACTATGAGGAACATAATTGACAGAGATTTCCAACTGCTGCATTCTGAAAGCCATCCCTAGGTTTGTGCTGAGGTCATGCTTCCCATAGAGTGCTGACAACAAAGGACTAAGTAAGGCAGAGATATGAAAGCAGGTCCATTCTTGCAAGATGGGAACCCCTTCAACTAGTGACTTTGGTTCTCAGACTGCTCATCAGCCTTACCAAAATTTTCTGAGAATTTCACGACAGTCTAAGATCTCTCCCTTCCTTCATTCCTTCTTTCCCTCCCTCCCTTCCTTCTTCATGCATTGCGTCTGACAGCCTCCTTGGGCTCCTTTCACATTTTCCCTCACAAGCATTTTCTCCAATAATATTTTGTCATTTACTTCTCAGAGGATCTGAAATTAACATAAAATCTGAACGTAACATAAAATTTAACCTTATAACGTTCTTATAAGGATAATAGTAGATATTCAATAATAGGTGCTGTTACTACTACAAGGCTCATAGTTGAGTACCATCAATCACTCTTTGTTGCAATTTTCTTGGCCACATATTCCCCATTCTAGATTTACATAGTTTATTTTTCTTGACCTTTATGAGAATGACTTCATATTCATGCCTATTTGATTTCATATTTTAATATTTGATCCATTATACAAATCATTGTGGAGTCTAACTTAGTTATACAAATTGTTGATTATTCATTGGTGGACTGAGTGGCTCATACTAGCTCATGGGAGTTGATAAATTTTCAGGGATTTTGCAAGCTGGTTGTGAAACTTGGTAGCTTGAAATTGGCTATGACTGGGTTTTACACCATGGAAAATGGCAAATGTTCCAAATCAGGCCTTTTTTGTTTGTTTTCTTCAGAGAGGTAGTTTACCAGTGTACCACGGATTATTCTTCCTAAACTTGTGTACACACAAGTGTTAAATAGGTTGGGACAGAGAACAAATCTCTGTAGGTTTATAATTAGGTAGGTAAAAAAATCAATGGCTTCCCTCAGACATGGCCATGATAAATATCAAACTTGAGAGAGGCACGGTGTAGACCCATGGTAACAATCTCAACAGACTAATGGGCCAGAGGAAGATGAGCCTTGAAGATTAAATGTATTTATCTAGGATTTTTGTCTTACAGTCAAGTGAAAATATTACAAGCCGGACTATCAAGAATACAGACTTCTTCTTGTCTTTCTGGCTGTGAGTGGAATTGATGGCAGCCAGGCCATGATTTTGAATCCCTTGGATTCACCAGAGGTGCCTCAGTGGCCACAGAGGAAGGCAGACAGTGGCAAAAAGGAGATGCCCTGGGTTCCCCAGCCTTGAGACAACCAGAACTGTTTCCATTTTATCATTTTATGTTTGGGTTCTCATTTAAGAGATCTTTGTAAAAATAACTCTATTAGTTTAAAAAAATTGAAAGCCACTATCTTAAATCATGTAGGCTATAAAATCATAGTACCTAATTTTCAAAATGAAGAGACAGTTAAATGTTTCAAAGAAAATCCTATGAGATATGTCTTTTACCTGAATTCCTCTCTGTAGTTTCAAACACTGACATTGTGTTATCACTGAGAAAATATGAAATAATGAACATCCTGTCCACATCAGCACATTTATGTGTGATTAGTCTTGCGAAAAATCGAAGTATATAGCTTATGAATCCATAACTAAATGGAAGAGAAATAAGGGTTATAGCATTACACAAGTAATCTTCCACACATTACGTATATAAGAAAACCTGTAAAAGGTTTGCTATGGTCTTAAGATAGTTGTGTGCCATCGAGTTGGACCCAACTCATAGTGACCCCTCCTTGGGTTTCCGAGGCAGTATCTCTACAGAAACAGATTGCCCCATCTTCCTTCCAAGGAGTAGCTGGTGGGTTTGAACCGCCAGCCTTCTGGTTAGCAGTCAAGTCCCTTAGGCACTATGCTACCAGAGCTCCCTCTTAAGATAGTAATAGCATAAATTCTCCCAAGTGAAAGAGTTCAACTGTGTGCTTATTAAGTTCCTAAGTCTACATACTGAGGATCTTTCTCAACTTATTAAAATATTTCATATTCTTTCCATGTTCTATGTAACACTGAGAAAATTTTCCCAAAACAAATGTCATAAACACCCTGTTAATACTAGCTACATTAAAGGCAAACACTCATGTCAGAAAGAAACACAAGCAACTATCCCTAGTCACTGGAGCTCTCTAGCATTATTTCTATCATAAAGGCCATATTTTCCAATTACTGGTGATTCTTCTTTGTTTCCAACTTTTACACTCCAATCACTAGTAATAATCAA